TCACGTCGCGGCCGAGAGGCTGATCGCGATGTGCGGATGACAATGATGAGGAGCCAGTCCGAAATATGATGACGAGGCGATGATGGAGCCGATCGTCATATAGAGGCGATAGTCACCATCCAGGAGGGGATGGCGAGCCTGATCGCTAGCCCAACACACTCGGCGCTGATGAAGCCGGTGTTGGGATAGGGTGTGACGTCGTGGCCGAGGGGCCGATCGTGATGCAAGGTCGTCAACACTACGACGCTGATCCAAAAGTCCAAGCAGCGGTCGCCATCCGATGAAGGAATGATTGAGACCGGTCTTGGGGATAGATAATCACGCTGAGGCCGAGGGGCCAATCGTGATGTGCGGACGGAGATGATGAGCCGATCTGATAATATGATGACGAGGCAAGAATGAAGCCAATCGTCATATAAGGGCGATGGTCACCATCCAGGAAGGGATGGCGAGCCCGATCGCTAGCTCAAGACTCCCGGCGCCGAGGAAGCCGGTCTTGAGATAGATAGTCACGCTGAGGCCGAGGGACCGGTCGTGATGCGCGGATGGCGATGAAAAGAGCCAATCCGAAATATGATGACGGGGCAATGATGAGCCGGCCGTCAGATAGAGGCGATGGTCACCATCCAGGAAGGGATGGTGAGCCCAGTCGCTAGCTCAAGATCGCGTTGAGACCGAGGGGTCTGCCGCGATGTGAGCATGACGGAGATGATGAGCCGTTCCAATAAATGATGACGAGGCCATGATGGGCCAATCGTCATATAAAGGCGACGGTCACCATCCAGGAAGGGATGGCGAGCCCGATCGCCAGCTCAAGACTCTCGGCACTGAGGAAGCCAGTCTTGAGATAGATAATCACGGCGAGGCCGAGGGGCCGGGCATGATGTGAGGACGACGGCGATGGGGGGCCGGTCCAAAATCCATGCAACGGTCGTCATTCGGTAAAGGAATGACTAAGACCGGTCTTGAGATAAATAATCACGTCGAGGTCGAGGGGATCGATCGTGATATGAGGACGACGACGATGAGGAGTCGGTCCAAATAATGATGACGAGGCGATGGTGAAGCCGATCGTCATATAGAGGCGATGGTCACCATCCGGGAAGGGATGATGAGCCCGATCGCCGGCTCAAGACTCGCAGCGCTGAGGAAGCCGGTCTTGAGATAGATGATCACACCGAGGCCGAGGGGCCGGCCATGATGTGAGGACAACGACGATGAGGAGCCGGTCCTATAATATGATGACGAGGCACTGATGAATCCGATCGTCATATAAAGGCGATGGTCACCATCCGGGAAGGGATGGCGAGCCCGATCGCTAGCTCAAGACTCGCGGCGCTGAGGAAGCCGGTCTTGAGATAGATAATCACGCCGAGGCCGAGGGGCCGGTCGTGATGTGAGGACAACGACGATGAGGAGTCGGTCCAAATAATGATGACGAGGCGATGGTGAAGCCGATTATCATATAGAGGCGATGGTCACCATCCGGGAAGGGATGGCGAGCCCGATCGCTAGCTCAAGACTCGCGGCACTGAGGAAGCCGGTCTTGAGATAGATAATCACGCCGAGGCCGAGGGGGTCGGTCGTGATATGAGGACGAAGGCACTGAGGGGCCGGTCCGAAGATCCATGCAACGGTCGCCATCCGGGAAGGGATGACTAAGACCGGTCTCGAGATAAATAATCACGTCGAGGCCGAGGGGGTCGATCGTGATATGAGGACGACGACGATGAGGAGTCGGTCCAAATAATGATGACGAGGCGATGGTTAAGTCGATCGTCATATAGAGGCGATGGTCACCATCCGGGAAGGGATGATGAGCCCGATCGCCGGGTCAAGACTCGCGGCGCTGAGGAAGCCGGTCTTGAGATAGATGATCACGCCGAGGCCGAGGGGCCGGCCGTGATGTGAGGAAAACGGCGATGAGGAGCCGGTCCTATAATATGATGACGAGGCGCTGATGAAGCCGATCGTCATATAAAGGCGATGGTCACCATCCGGGAAGGGATGGCGAGCCCGATCGCTAGCTCAAGACTCGCGGCGCTGAGGAAGCCGGTCTTGAGATAGATAATCACGCCGAGGCCGAGGGGCCGGTCGTGATGTGAGGACAACGACGATGAGGAGTCGGTCCAAATAATGATGACGAGGTGATGGTGAAGCCGATTATCATATAGAGGCGATGGTCACCATCCGGGAAGGGATGGCGAGCCCGATCGCTAGCTCAAGACTCGCGGCGCTGAGGAAGCCGGTCTTGAGATAGATAATGACGCCGAGGCCGAGGGGGCGGTCGTGATGTGAGGACAACGACGATGAGGAGCCGGTCCTATAATGAGGGACGGCGCTGGGCGCTCGTCTGAGAAATGATGGACGGCGCTGGGCGCTCGTCTGAGATGATGGACGGCGCTGGGCGCTCGTCTGAGATGATGGACGGCGCTGGGCGCTCGTCTGAAAATGAGGGACGGCGCTGGGCGCTCGTCTCAAAAATGAAGGACGGCGCTGGGCGCTCGTCTAAGAATGAAGGACGGCGCTGGGCGCTCGTCTAAGAATGAAGGACGGCGCTGGGCGCTCGTCTAAGATGAGGGGCGGCGCTAGGCGCTCGTCTAAGATGAGGGGCGGCGCTAGGCGCTCGTCTAAGATGATGGACGGCGCTGGGCGCTCGTCTGAGATGATGGACGACGCTGGGCGCTCGTCTGAATATGAGGGACGGCGTTGGGTGCTCGTCTGAAAATGATGGACGGTGCTGGGCGCTCGTCTAAAAAATGAGGGACGGCGCTGGGCACTCGTCTAAAAAATGAAGGACGGCGCTGGGCGCTCGTCTAAGAATGAAGGACGGCGCTGGGCGCTCGTCTAAGATGAGGGGTGGTGCTGGGCGCTCGTCTAAGATGATGGACGGCGCTGGGCGCTCGTCTGAGATGATGGACGACGTTGGGCCCTCGTCTGAGATGATGGACGGCGCAGGGCGCTCGTCTGAAAATGAGGGACGGCGCTGGGCGCTCGTCTACAAATGGAGGACGGCGCTGGGCGCTCGTCTAAGATGAGGGACGGTGCTGGGCGCTCGTCTAAGATTGAAGGACGGCGCAGGGCGCTCGTCTAAGATGAGGGACGGCGTTGGGCACTCGTAGGAATCCAAGTATATATAATTAGGAGAGATTGAGCTAGATAATTGGAGAAGATGGATGAATAGTAGAAATGTGATATTGTGTATGAATTATGAGTTATGTTCTAGGGTTACAAATGGTTCCAAGAGGAGTATAAATAGGGAAATAATGGGTCGGGCCGCTAATATGGGCCCGGTAGCCCAACTACATAAAAGACTAATCTAGTACATAGTTACATACAAATGACATATAAGCAGTACAATAATACAAATGATATCCGTAAGATGTGTGTGGGCCGCTGTCCGGGCCCAATAGTCATGAGACCCGGGGGTCCGAGTCTATATACTCTATCATTACACAACCTATTGTGCGAAATCAAAATTACATATTTGATGAAATATTGTTTGATATGCCTGATAAAAGACAAAGTCAAGTAATGACTGGATTTATCTATTTGATATCTTAACCACATGCAATGTTAAAATGAAAATATTTCACAACGGTGGGCGTAGCTCAAATGGTAGCGAGGGAGTTCCAGAAAGGTTAGGTCCTGAGTTCGAATCCCGACAACTGCGATTAGAGGTCATCTATTAATATCTAAAAGCAAAAGATTTTTATGAACATGGTTCCCTCTCAAAAATGTCAACGTCAATGACTCATGTGTGGTTTGTCATCAAAAATAAAAAAGAATGGAAATATGTTTTTGATCTCGGTTGAATGGATTAGTTGGTGAGGCCATACTAATTTGTGATTGGTTCGATGATGGGTGGGTACTGTAGAGCCTCTGCACTTGGTTGCCAAATACATTTTCTGGAATTTTCCTATTGGTCCAAATGGGTGGTCATTATTGTAGATGGGATATAATTGCCAGAAAATAGTGTTCTTCTTTTACTGTGTCATGTATCAATTGGTTGAATTAGGCGGTGTAACTATTTGTGTAACTGTTTTTGCTACGAGCAGTATGATCTCAATTGGATTTGGAGAGTTAAAATACTAATATTTCATTGGTTGAAAAGGTGATTGGAATAGTAAAACTTACTTATTTACAAAATCCTGAATTATCATTCCCTTATATAAGAAGCATCGGGGCATCACTGCTTCCACACCAAAACACATCAAGCTTACTTGCTAGAACAGTTTGAATCTATCTCAAAAATGGTTGGGATGTGGTCTATGATTCGTGAAATCGACCCAACTAAAACAATTTGGGCTATCAAGGCAAAAGCTACAAGGGTTTATCGTGAACCTGCACAAAACGGATTTCCACCGTCTTTGGAAGTGATCTTTCATGACGAAGAGGTTTTTATTTAGGGCTTTATCTTTAGCATTTTTTGGTTTCGGTTTTCACAGATGCTTTTTGTAACAGGGCTCTAAGATACATGCACATGTTCCAGACCAATTCATTGGGAAATTTCAGTTTCTGTTTAAGGAGGGGCGTATCTTCGCGGTAAAAAATTTTATGGTCGAGGAAAACTATATGTTTTTCAAAACAACAACAAGTGCCTACAGGCTGCGGTTTTTTAAAAAGAGCGAGGCATTTGAGATTAAAATTCCCTTTCCTTTGAGGACATTTTCGTTGGTGTCATTCTTAACTCTACAGGAGCAAGAAATTATTGACGATAAGGCTGCGATCGGTGGGTATATAATTTTAAAAACAAGATAAAATAAAAACTCACTACTCATTGAATGAAATGCTGACAAATTTATGGACGATACAGATATCATTGGACAGGTTGTCCATGATAAAGACCCTAAAACGATCCTCAAGAATGAACGTCCTAAGAAACTGATTGAGCTCATCTTGGGGGACACAGAGTTAGTAACTCAACTTTTAAACTTGACGGTAGATGATATTTTTTGTTGGATTTTTTTGTTAAAACATGTCGTTTTTTAAGGGGTAATGTTATCGCCTGCACACTTTGGGGTCCTATGGTAGAACTGCTGCTCACTTACAAACTGACCACAACAGAACCTATTGTTATGCTTCTGCAATGCTGCAGAGCCAGAAAATATCAAGGTGACTGTTTTTTTGTTAGCTTTTGTATCCCTACATATTCACGCTAACAACGACCTGGATTTAGGTCAAGTGCACGTATCCAATATGTTTAATACGACAAAGGTCATTCTGAACGGTACCGAGGAAGTGTTCAGTGACTTCAAGTCGAGGTAGACACCGGTTCATTCTACAATTTCCTATAATTGAAAGCAAGGATGAATCACAAAAATGATGAATCCCTTTTGAAACAGGATGGCTCAAAGGTGCGAGGACGGGTTAAGTTTTACGATATCTTCTGATACATCCAATGAAGGCGACATTAACAGTGGACAGATTCAATTGGTCACAATTGAACAAATCACAAGAATGGAGGAAGTATGTTGAATATATAAAGCTTTCATTAATCCTAATATAAAATTTAATGGACTTTAACTTTGTTTTAGGATGGTAAACATTGGGTTTTCGGAGAGATTGCTGGAATAGAAAGTCACAAGGACTGGTCTTACGTTTCTTGCGTTGGATGTAACCGCAAAGTGTCACCCAACGGTGACACTTTTCAGTGTATAACTTGCAACACTTCTGATGCAGTTCTGAGGTTAGACTCCACCTTAGGGAAATTTATATTAATTATCATTGTATGAGTGTTGACTTCCAAAATTTTTGATCGAATGTATAGGTACAAGGTTAACGTAAGGGTGGTTGACAAAATGTCACATGCTTCATTCCTGCTATGGGACAGGGAGGTTTCGTGTTTAATAGGTCGCTCGGCTTCTTCTTTGAAAGAACAAGTGCCTAAGGTTTAACACCACTTAAATTTCCATTTGATTTCTCTTAGGTTTTATTTGAGACTCCTTCATTTTCTAATTAGACTTTGTTTTTCAATAGAGGAATTTCGATCCTCACTACTTTCCTTCGGAAATCAATGCTCTGATGGATATCAAAGCACTCTTTCGTGTGCAACTCAAGAAAGACAGTAGGAACTACAAGGGCAATAAAAATTTCAGTGTACTTACGATGAATACGGACCCAAAGGTTATAGCCCTCTACGTTTGTGAGCCTAACGCTGCTGAGGTTTGTCCTATGACTAACCATTAGTGGTTTACTGTTCACTGAATTTTACAACCCACATCCTATCACAAAAATGTTTATCTCAATGTTTAGGATGAAGATGAGTTCACCCTTTTGAGGAGAGAGTTTTCTGTAACAGAAAAGGTGAAGCGGAGTTTTGTTTTGTATGTAACCTTATGTCTATGTAGGGTGTTCCTACTAGAGATGTTTCCAGTTTAGGGGTCTTTACAGAAAAGTGATGGTTCATATTATAATTGATTAACTAACACTTTGTTCCCTAAATTTTAGGTTGGGTCTTCACAGACTTGCAATTCCACAAGCCCACTGTTGAACAAGGAAAAGAGGATTGCCCTAGAAATCGATGGAGAAAGGTTGAAGAGAGATCTTTTTGGTGAATTTTCTTCAACAATGCCAATGAAGAAAATGAAGGGTGTGAAAATCGAGGAGACAAAGCCTTGAGGATGTTTGAAGTGAGGAGTGAGGAGTTTTAGATATGAAGACATCTAAATAAAACTGTCACAAATTGGTGTCTAGAATAACTGTTGGCTAAGCGTGTTATCAGTACTTAGTATCTATATGAATATATGTAAAATGTTTCATGGAGCAAATATTGTTAGAAGACAATACAAACTACCTTAGGTGGGTGGTTGTCTTCTACATATTTAGCATTTTGAGCTTTGTAAACGGTTCGCATACTTCAACCTAAAGCGTGCCTTCATGTAAACAAGTCAATCTTATATTATATATCAAATACGTATTGTATTTTTATATTCAACAGCTAGCAATTATTGCCAGTTAGTGGGTATATGTTGTTTTAAAAAGGCATTTAACTTCAACAATTATTTAATGGACTGCAGTTAGTGGCCACTAAAAATCTGGATAACTAAAAGGAAAATGTTTCATATCCACAAATTGGTCTTAGTTTTTGTAAACATTTTTCATAAATCCTCAGTTTGAAAAATCAAATTGAGTTTTAATTGGAACCAAATCAAATTAGAAATCACGAATATATAACTGGGTGACTGTTGTTTGGTTGCATTGTTGATCTCAATGCGAAACAAGGTCCCTAAATTATATAGATTTTAAAATTTTCATTTTGTTTGATCAGTTGATTGTTATGTTTTAAAGGTTTTTAGCAGGTACAACAAATGATGCGAAAATAATTTTTGGGAACTACTGTATGTTGCCTAACTCAAAACCAATACAAATCCAAAACAAATTGTTAGCTATTAAATAATAGTTAACAATTTATGTTAACATTTTTTAGGCAGATTGAAGACTAATTGGAACGAAACCAAAATAGAGCATATAAATAAATAATGAGTTATTCAGATGAATATCTGTGTTGACTCAAAACCATTTAACCTATTCAACTTGAAAATTTGAATATGGAAAACCGTCAAAAAAGTTGTCTGAGAGGCATGTTTATAGATGTATACATGCGGATATAAAAAATTAAAACCAAAAGGAGTGTAGCAAAATGTACCTGGGTTCAACCTCGAGAGTGGGAAGCCCTAAATCTACCCTATGTCTAATTATTACAACATTTTCAAATAAAACCGTAAGGCAAAAAAAATTTACTAATTAAATTGGATTGAAATGTATGGAACCATCAATGCCCTGCAAGTTTCAATATAAATGGTGTTACAATACAAACAAATGCAACCCTCTGTAATGAAAACTTTCAGAGTACATTAAAATTGATTCTTTTAACATTTTTTTGGTCAACGAGTATACACCATCATATATAAAATAGATTAATATACATAAGTCATGATTATACTTGAATCTAGAATAACAATCCCGTTAACATTGTGTTCAAGTTTAAAATGCATTTTTGGATATCAAAATTTATAGCAAATTGTATACCAAATATCACCCCCCTGAATTGCTGGCATATCCAGGGCAAGGTGTTCTACTTTGGCAGTTCTTATTATTTATTTTCTTAATAACAACAAATTTGATGCATCTCTAGGGGAATTATATTCAGTGACAGAACTAATTAATGATAGATATGTCTAAGTAATCTAAGGCAGTTCTGAAAACCATAGAGTTATTTTAATAATACATATTGCATACCATCAACCAATTAAGAAAACAATATTGAAGTTATATTGTTACAAAATCAACCTGTTTAAATCAATAGAAGTATTAATTTTCTGGTCGTGATATTTAAAAAAATTACATTTTATTTGATTGGAAATTATTAAATTTAGGGAATTTGACACACTTAAGTGAGGTTGTGAAATTGAAGTAGGTTGACTACAAATATAATATGATGAAGTAGAATGTTTGAATTAGGACAACAACCGAGTAATGTTTTCATTTTAGAAATTACAAAATGTACAAATAAAAGCTTCATATCAATATTTTGACATATTGTAGTAACTTATTCATGATGTGCATAGTTGGATTTCAGATTAAAATTTTTGTAAAGAAAGAACTTAGAGAAATAAAATCATACTGGATGGAAGCCGATATTGTGCAGAGATTTTTTCTAATAAGTACAGATATTTTAAACCTTACCGTGTGTTTATGGATTTGTCAGGTTTGGTGTGCGGTAGAAAGAGTTCCACATAATCTTGCATAAGCAAAACCTTACCGTGTGTTTATGGAACTTTTTTTTGAAAAGCAAAATTATTACTATGCCAGGTGAAACCCACTATAAACAATGACCATTGGTTACTTTTTGTAGTAAAACAGTGTTTAAGATATGTTTTTATGTGAGTTTTACGCTGAGTGGGTTTAATGAGTACGTTACACTGTTCATGCTCAGAAAATATATTTTGTGTAATTGATTATGAAGATCTATAGATTATGGAGAGCCATTCAATCGACCCTAGATAATATAATATAAATAACACAAGCATTGAGAGCTATACCATTAGAGGCATTCATGCAGCTCTTCTCCACATCCGTCGTTTGAACAATCTTCTTCTAGGCTACTTAATCTTTTTACAGAGCTAAGGTGAACTTTTTAGGTAAGTAACATAATCAATGTTACTTATACATAACTGCCCCTCTTTGGTTTTGTTGTGTATGCAAAATGAGCCTGTGGTTTTCATTCTAAATGAAAATTTCTTATCAAGTTGACATTAAAGTTATAATTTGGACTTTTTATTGTTGATTCCTAATTTTAATTTGGTTATACTTCTATATGTGAGTTAATTTTTTTAAACAACCTTTTTGCACGAAAATTATGCATTAGTGAAATAACACAACACAAATATGTTCAACACAGATTGTATGAGAGTACATGTCATTTCCTAATAAATGATTTTTTTAAAAGCAAACCAGATGATTAAAGAATTGATGCTAAAATGTAGTTTGTGTTTTGTATTGAAGGACATAACACATTTTTTAACACATGCATGATCAACCTGTTTTAATAAAATTACAGTTGAAATCTACATGTTCTATTTTCCTGTTAACATTTGTTATACTATTTCATACATTATGTTGTGTTGATATTTGTGTGGCAAACAGAGGAATGGGAACCCATCATTGTGTAACTGATTTTGGTGGAGGTGTTGAAAGTGGCGGTGTAATAAAGCAGTGCGAAATATGTTTTCTTATGGGTCACGGGGCAGACATGCATAATATTCCGGGTAGTAATGTTTGGATATGTACTTGGTGTAATGCTGAATATCAGCTTGATTTTCTCCACCAAGGCACACCTCCAACACTCCTCTCACCGGCAGTTCTCTCACGGATGTATGGAGATCATGATTTGCGATGGTTCTTAGGATCTGTTGGGGAGAGTTTGGGGTCGACCTCCGCTGTGGTAAGGGATGAGGTCGTCTCACGACGTTCTACACGCACTGTGTATTTGAACAGGCGTTATTTTAACGGGGAATTTGTTGTAGACCTAGACTTTGGTTGGCTATCTAAGTCAAACTGATCTATTGTAATATGTAGTAATTAAGGAAGACGGCGCCTAATAAAATGTTGCATACTGATGTTATCTGTGATTAATGTACTCTCTTTTGTATTTTGCCCGTTACGGTTTTATAACATGAAGGTATGTGGTTTGTTTATGTGTTTTATACTCTTTTAATTGTTTTTGTTCCATCTGTGTGTGTTGTGCATAATCTTTTCAGGAAAAAAATAATGAAACAATTATTTATCACCATTACTCTTTTATAGAGAATTCTTATTATGCCTAGATTTTAGGTACAAAAACAATGAGTCAACCAGGATGTGAGTTATTTACCCGTGCGGTCATTGTGAATGCCTAAGTTAACAAAGTCCGTGGTGATCGGTCGCAAGCGATCCAATTCAGGCATTTCTATGTGTCATTTCTGCAAACAAAATTTTTATTTGCAAAGTTTAGTGTTCAAAATTTGACTCATGCTACTCATATATCTTATGAATATGTGTTGGTTTCTCTATTCAGTACGTGCACACATTGTTTTGATCTTTGTCACAGATGCTCAAATTAGTAACAATTCATTGTAATATAGTGGCAAGAATGTCAGAGGCTTATAAAACCTCTTGAAATTAAACGAAAATATGCAAGTATTTGAAAAAAAATGTCACTAACTGAATTAAAACATGTAGTGTATAAATGCGCGCACGGATGTATTGAGGATGCAGTTGTGACATATAGTCTGACCATTAACATGAATCAAATGTTTATAAATAGACAAGTAATAAATTAACAAACATACCGTTAA